GAGCCAGGACTTGCAATTTAGGGGAACCAACTGTGGGGACAGCGAGATTCTCATTACTGGAGAATTCTGATGAGTTGCAAAGTGTGTTTAAATGCATGAGAAGTTTCTGGAATCAGGCATTTGGGTTCAATCCCACTTCTTCTACCTGTTGACTGTGGGACTTTGGGTTAGTTACTTAATTTTCCTCTGTTTTGATTTTTTCATCTGTAAAATAGGGACATAATACACAGTGCTGACACATGACAAAAGTTCGGTGAGCCCATTACTAACTGAAGTGAGACTCACAAGCAAAACCATTCAGATGGCACACTGCCTGCCTTCAGGGTGCTCGGCGAGCTCACCAGCAGCCTCCTTGAAGCCCCTCTTTCTGTGCTCGAGGTGAGAAGGTACCCCATGCCTATCCTTAGGAGGGGGTGGTGAGGCTCACAGCACCTTATGTCTTCCAATTTTCAGCCCCTTTTGGCAACTCCAAATTAACTGTTGTATGCCCTTGAGAAAAGGAGGTAACTTGATTTGCAAGTCCTGTGTGAGCAACCGTGGCGTCCCTTTGGGATTAGGGGAGTCATCACACCAACGATCCCAGCCTCAGCCCAAACTGACTGGAGTGCAGGTGTCACTTGTTCTCTCAACTCAAGAGCCAAATGGACCCAGGTACAATTTTTGATAAATCCCGTGCTATCTGAAATCTAGCTACTCACTATCCCAAACTCAGGATCCAACGGGGATAAAGCGGTATCCTGACCATCTAACTCTCTGTCTGCATCCACCCTCTGCATACACGGAGCCGGGGGAGGGACACTGATCACTGTGGTCTTCTGCCATCCTGCTCACCCCGGGAGGCTATGAGGACTGACTGAGATGATGGGTCTGGCGTGGTGTTTGGCCTGTGCCGGGCTTGATTTATTTTAGGGGCTAATGATGTGGCACCATCCTTTCATTTTGCAGCAACAATGCAGAAAAACAGCTGTAAATTCACCGGGCGACCATTTCATCTGTTTCACAGAGTTGCCCTGGATACTGAGGTATTGCAATAATCAGATGAAATCCCTGTTTTCCTGCCTGCCTGGAGCTGAGGGAGGGTGTCTGACCCGCACAGCCAGCTCTGCGGTCCCCAGGCACGGGCGCTCCTCCAGACACTAGGCCTCTGTGATCCTAGAAAGGTCACACGTGAGGCCTCCTTCCCTCACTGCTAGCTGCTCAAACCCTCTGCGTTCAACACACTGCTCTCACAGGATTCATTAAAACAACAAGTATCTTTCTGAAAAGCAGAAGAAACTTGTAATGAATTTGAAGTGAGAAAAAAAATCCTCATTTAAGCAACATATTTTGCCCAAGATCCCAGCCCAAGCATTCAGAGTAGCACAAAAACATGCATTATTGAAAAGCTTTTTAAACGAGCAACTTTTAGAATAATTTATTATGATGCACAGACAGGGCCGGCGCACATCTTGCTCACCAGTGATGAGCCAGTGGTTGGCTCTGCTGCTCGCTGGGTGAGGCCAGACAGGAGGATGGAGGGCATGTGTGGGGTGCACACTGTGCCTTTAGTCCCCAGGTCAGCCGGTGATTTGGAAAGCCAAGAGCAACTTGGACAGAATGTTTAGGTGATAAATGGAGGACAAGAGGGAGGCCACCTTCATATTTCACTCATGTCACTGTACAGAGATGGGTGACTGGGAGCCTTAGCTCCATCCGACAGTTAGAAAAATGCTGAACTCACTTCTCCCTGGGGAGGGGCCACCTGTTCTGCAGAGAATGGGTCAGCCCCACCATGAACCAGCTCAGGTGAGCAGGGACACCACCAGTCACGGGATTCCTGAAGCGGCCCTTAGCTAGCTACAGACAATGGCAAACACATCTCATGAACGGCTGGGCCAGCTGCTTGAGCAGATGTGATGTAAGAGGCCCCAGCCTCCACCCTTGTAAATACAACCCTCTTCTCCGGGGAAAATGCCCTAAACTCATCCTTGAATAGAGAGATTGGGTTGGTGCCAGGACCCACCCTGCCTGGTACCCAAGGACCCTGGCAAAGTAGAGACTAGAAAATAAAATTTTAAAGTCAATCTTTGCCAGCCCATCAGATCCAGTTTTAAAAATGATATCCAAAATGTTGTTGCTGACATGTTTGAGCTATTGCTTTCTGAGGTGTAGTGAGATTTCTTTAATGCCCATTGATTTCTGGGTAATAAGTTGTACCTATATGTCTCACTTCAATTACCTATTTAACATTCACTGAACCATAAATCCATTCCCAGAGCTCTGGGAATTTAGTTTAGAGTTCCTATGACTTTGAAAAGCCATTGATCCCGGGTGCACTGAGTAGCCTCATGTCAGGCCTTTATGGTGGGTTAACTCATTATGGGGCTTCCTTAATGTCTGAGAGTTTACATTTTATTGCATATCTGTTATTTGGGTTGGGCTATGATAAATGGTTTGGCTGCCTGGTTCAAAACAAGTCCAAGGCAACAGCAGAATCTCATTTGCTTTAAAAATGATGATCACCGTGCTTTTCAAATAATCGCCCAGGAATAAAGGAAACAGACACCGCATTGCTCCGCGTGCGCCACCCGGCTGGAGGTGGAGCGGGGGCTGCCGGCCTGTTCCGCGGGCAGCTCGTGGTTATCGGGACCCTCATTAGGGGCCAGGGCGCCTTCTCGCTCAGCAGGCGCAGCAGGCGTGCTGCTGCCTCCTTGAGGGAAATGCCAGCGGCCTCCTGTTGGGCCCCGGACTGATTCCCAGGAACAGAGCTCACCGGGTACCAGGGTGGTGCCTGAGCGGTGCCATTCTCTGTGGGATGCCTGGTGCATCCCCCAGGTCTTGAAGTCCAGCCTTGGCCCCTGGCTCTTAAAATGCACCAGTCTTTGCCTTCATAGCTCCTTTCACCGAGGGGCCTGCTGGGGAGATCTCAGGAAAGTCCCCAGAACACTTGATGCCGCTTTCCTGTCATGGAGGGCTAATCTCCCTGTCATCTGTCCTGACCACCCCACTCTTTTTTTGTCCAGGTTCAACAGAGATTAAAATCATCAGGAGGTCTCGGTTTGGGAAAGGTGGATGGAGAGGATATTGCAGGAGGCGGACTCTGGGGACAGGAGTGATGTGCACGTCAACAATTAAGAACATGCTCTCCAGGGGAAAAAGATCCCCCCCTTCCTTTTATTTGCATGGTGTAAATTTCTTTGGTGTAAATACTCCCATCATGGATAATTAAAAGCTACCAACTGTTTGTTTGCCTTGAAAACTCTTGAAAATCTAACAATGGGTTCTCAAGAACTAGGTCTAGGGAGTTGCTGATACTTCCATACATTCTAAAATTTAGAGATTTATTTCAGGAAATAAGCTCCTTGATCCACAAAGCAAACACCTCTCGAAGCAGGCTAAGCCTATCAGTCATTCACACCTTATTCTGAACTACTATAAGCAGATGTGATTAACAGTGGGCAGGGAGGAGGAGCATGGGGAGCCATACCTAGTCACCGCATAACAAGCAGAGCCTTGTACTTTGGGGGTTGGACTTTGGTCCTTGGCAGCAGGGATGCCGTGAACTAAAAAGGCACTCCTGCATCAAGCTCATGGCCATTTCCCACAGGGAAGAATCACACTTGCTTCTCTCCTATGTCATACAAGTATCTCCTCCATCTGCCACAAGAGCCCTTCTTGCCAAGGTCTTCTTCTCAGGCCTGGTGAATGTTTGGAGTAACAACTGCACAAGGAGATGCCAACAGGGAGCACCAACACCCTCTGACAAGCAGAACTCCGGGGAGAGGCTGAGGGTGGGGGAGAATGCCAGCGTCTATGGCTCAGAGGC